AATTATTAAATTATTTTTTTATTTTAAACCATAGACGCTAAAAATTTTAAGATATGCGGGCCAAAATTGGAAATTATTATTTCACCTTGGACTCTTTGATGCAAATGCTTTAAAATACTTTTTGTTTAGTAGGTTTATGATCTTAAGTCTGTTAAGTGTAATTTGAAAAATTGTTATATAAGCGCCTATTTTTGTGGGAAAAGCAATCAAAACATATTATTTCTTTTTTTTATAAAAAAAACAATTAACAACCAAAATAAAGCTCGAAATACTAGAATTAAGATTTGGTAATTATTTTAGTGTCAATTCCTTGGTTGACAAAGAAAAGTTTTATTTAATTAACATTTAAATGGTAAGTTTGATGAGTGATGTCTTACTTTTACTGAAAAGATATAGTTCCGAATACTAGTATTGTCATCGTACTTGATAAGTTATGCAGACAATCACAAACATCTTTTCAAATCGTAAAGAAAATATTTTTATAGTTCGGAACATTATCTCCAAGTTCTTAAAAAATCTTTAAAGAATATTTTCGTCGTGTAAATGAAATGTCAAATTCTGTTATACAAATTTTGAAATTAACCATATTTGGCACGCATGATTTAGATTCATAATTACTGAAACATAAGTAATCGGATTAAAACTATTATTCACTTGCACAACAAAAATAAATAATTTAAAACATGAAATGTGTACATTTACATAAAAATAAAGTTGAGGCAAAGCAACGGTTTATAATATAGCACTTTCCCCTTCAGCAAGTGAAAATATTGCTTTTAAATATAATCTAGCTATGAACTGATTTTTTAAAAGTACTTTCATTGATATACGAATATACTTCAAAGATTGCTTACATTTAGGATAAGCAAAATTTAAAAAAGCGTTAACATAGTGCTCGAAATTAAGGCATAATAATATGCTTGAATAATAACTTACAGCTTTTCTGAATGTATAGAAATTCGGAAAAGCTTGTTGTTTCGGAAATATAAGATGTAACAAATTCCAAGCGGCGATAACTCGCTTCTAACGAAATGAACTATTTATCAGTGTCTAAAAGGTGCAAAAATTTCAGAAAATCATATAATCTGTGGTTTAGAAGAAATTTAAAAATTTTAAAATTTTCTTCTACGGATATAGGTTCTAGTAAAAAACTATTTGCATATGAAATTTCAGCTTTCTATCTTCAGTGGTGTAGAAGTTTTGTGAATATGTCCTCGGACTGACAGACGAACTTAGTGAAACTAATAAAAACTTTTTTTTAAAATTATTTTGGAAAAGTGCTAAAAAATTACAATTTTCATTTTATATTATTTTGAGCTCTAAACATTTTTAAGAGTCAATTCATGCTTATTATTCATATATACTTGTTTTAAGCGTTATAATGTTAGGTACTTTGAATAATTCGTCTTCTTCATCATCTTTGTCCGAATATATTGTAGTATCTATATATACATACATCACTTTCCATTCATTATTTAGATTATAAAAATAAATCATACACTATTACTATTATACGTGTGATAAAGAGCTACTACAATACGGGCATACATACTATACATTGTGTAATATAAATAATTTGTTTTCTTTTTTTTATGTCTTTTCTAGAAAAAATGTTTATACATTATGACCTTGCACTTGATTCGTGACTAGAATTTTCTTAATATAATTTTATCATAATAATATAGAAAAAACATTATAAAAGAGAAGTATGAGCAAAATAAATAACTACTTAAGTACAAATATAACAAAAAACAAAAGAACAACAAAAACACAGTAAAATGTAGAGAGAGAAACTTTTTGACAATATAGCAAAGCAATATGTACTCGTAATTCTTTCAATATCGCACATAAATATTCTAAACACTCAACATTTGTTTTTGCTTTTTTTTTGACAATACTCAAACATAAAATATAACACTCAACGCAAATGAACAAACAGAATAATGGCAAACAAAAGAATGAGAAGAAATTAAAAGTGATTTTTTTTTGTTTTGTCTTTGATAATGGTTGTATACTACGAGTATGTACATACAATATTGCATAGGAGCGAATGAGATAAAAATAAATTATATACAAAGTGGATTATTATATAGAATGTTGTATCGATGGGAAATCGTGTTTCATCAAATCCGTTTAGGACACATAAATATAAGACAGGAAAACCAAATATAGAAGCAAAAAATATGAAAAATACAAAAAAAGGAAAGAATTATAAAATTATGTGTGTTTTTGTTCTATTTAAATGATGTTCGAATTCTATTGTAAGTGTTGCCCATTCTGGTTGATTTTTTGGTTTATTTAAAAAAAAATATACGTAATTTCTCATTTAGTTCCCTTTGTAGACGAAAACATTCAAACCATGATTCATTCAATTAATTTCATTACTTTCAATTTTCTTTTTTTTTTGTTAAGATTAAATTAGTTAAAGTGTAACATGCATATAGAATTCAAAATACATTATTGTTTTCGATTAGCAAGTGTATACTTGCTAACACGACTTTCATACAAAATATGTAATTCTCTCTAATATAATATTTCGTATATTATGTAAAATTTCGTATATGTATGAGGATAATTTTAATTTTCCATGAGTTTAATCAATCGAGATAAAATTGCTATTAAACATTTAAAAATAAGTATATTGGTCTTAATTAACTTTATAATTTAATTATTAAGTCTTTTATTGTTCTTGCTGAAAACGATGAAGGGCATATTCTAAATGAAGATATGCTCTCCTTGAGCAAGAAGCAGCTTTGAAGGTAAATCCGGCGAATTTGATCTGCAAGATTTGACTGGGGAAACAGGAATGATGTTGTAGGCCCAACAATTACCACTCAGAGCTTTCCTCGATGTGGAACCAATCTGTTGACAATATTAACTGTAAGTCAAGTATACGTGCGGCGGAAATCAAGCGAACAGAACCGTATAAGAAAGGTAGATCAGGAATATGTTCAACGCCTGAAAATATTTCATATATGTAACGGCTGATAAGAAGTGCTGTCCACCAACATTTTGGGTTCCAGTCGTAATTGACCACAGGGAGGTATATTTTCATCTTCGGTCAATTACCTAAAGCCTGCAGGACTATATCAACGATATAGTTGTACTTGTGGCGAACCAAAATATGGTGTAATCAGTGATAGAATGGAAGGTTCCGCTGGCATTGTGCATGACTGATCAAGCGGAGACCGACTCTGCTGCCGTTTTGTAAGTATAAGGCAATGACCCATTTAAAGTTGTGGTGCTTCGAGGAAAAAGGGAAAAGTTTGTGAATACTGATTAAATAATTTTTTAAAATTTACTTAAGTCAATACTCTCATTGTAATATTGTGGACGAAAAACATTATATAATAATAATATTATTTAAATACGCATAATTGGTATTATAAAACAGAACAAAGTGTTGGCATTATCATTAATTTAATTTTTATTAGTTAACAAAATATTCTACAGGTATTGTAACTATCAATCATATTATGGACCATACAACATTCTAATTGAAATTTTTTAAATATGGTAATTTTATTTATTAATATTTTATATAATAGCGGGAGCGTGGGGAGACTGCAATAAGTCGCGAATGGCTGCGGTGGCCCGGATAATATGTCCTCTTGTCCCACCCTTTGAATCTACCAAAATTAAATATTAACATGTAATGTATAAAAATAACTAACATTGAATATTTTTCAGAAATATTAACTTCTAAGTCCAATAATTCGAAGAATGAAGAGTAAAAAAGATTAATTGTTCCCAATAATTCATTGTCAGCCTGTACCTTTTCTATCACGCTATTTCGGGAGTCCCCTCAAATCTCGAAAAACCTCTGTATAACGGATATGAATTTGTTACTTATAAGTCACCTACATGAGTACCATTTTATTGAAAAATTAATATATTCAAATCGGAAAGCTAAATAAGAGGGCCATTTTATCTAATGAGCATCCGTAAGACAAGGGTGTATTAGAAACTTAATTATTGAAATTTAGTACAAAGTTAACAATCGTTCTTATACAAAAGACAATTTTTGTTATAATGGTATTAAACCATAATTCTCTAATATTGCTATACTTACAGAAACCCACATGTGCACAAATATATACTTAAGTAAAGGCGGAATTTCAATTAAACTGAATAACACACATAATATATAACATACTGTTAAAAATTTTGAAAAATTATGTTAACAGAATTTTTTTCATTCTTGAATCCCAATGACAGGGACATTCCAATGTATAAAAGAATTTTTGTATTAAAAAAAAAAACAAAAACAAAAAAATAATTTTAACAAACTTAATTTCCTTTTTCTTTTCCTTATAGTTCATCAGCACTTTCTTTCATCACATTCAAATTTTATGTGTTTGGAATTCTTAAACAGAGCAAGAGGATCTAAATGTGTATAATTTAATAACAATAATAAAAGATAAAAATATAATATTGTACACATGTATGTTGATGCATATAAGCAAAGTTGGTAGTACATATTATATTGTGGCATATTAATAGTCATACATATACATAATAACAATTTGAGAAGATAGTAAAAATTATTATTGAATTCTGTACAAAACAGAAACTAGTTTTTTTTTTTAAATTAAAAAATTATTAGCATAAGCGTTAAATTGTAACAATACAGTATAGTACATATAAAGGTTTACATACATATACATATATATGTAGGTATGTATGAATTTGAAAACATTAATAATTTTTTTTTTCAAAAATTTCAATATGGCCGGCGATATTGATAAATTATTGGTAATAATTAAGTATAATAATGGCAATATGGTATTACTATTTACATTGTTTTCTTTTTGAATATGGTGGGGGCTTAAAAAATTTGTACGTCAAGCTTAATCGAAATATTTTATCTCTTTTCTTCTTTCTAAAGAACAATATAAATAGAGATAGAACAACATTAATATTGTATAGATATAGAACTAGTTTATATTCCTGGAACATATAAAATGTCGTTGGAAATGATGGGTTCATTATTAGTTTACTTTCAGAATTCGTGGTGAATATTATTTTTGTTAATAAATACAAATTTTTTTATTTGAGATACAATTACAAAATGTTTAAACTAATTAGTGTAAGTTTAATTAGAATTTATTAAACAAAAACAAAACTAAATAACAAAAGGATATTTTTGGGTTCAAATTTAAAAGAGTTTTTAAAAGCAATGACAAATCGTGTTAGATTCATTGTATGTTTTTGATGTAATTCTTTCCATTATGAATATTAAATTAATTCATTAAATTAAGAAATCTGATAGTGCAATATTTAATTGTTTGAAATTTTATGTAAATTAAATAGAAATTTTTAAAATGCTTGGATTTTTATCTACATCTCTTAATTACTTTATTTGTGCATAATCGTTTTTGATTAATCTGAAATGTTAATAATAAAAATAACAAAAACTTGTACATAATTTTAACTAATTTAAAATTCCAAAAATTTTTGCTACATTTCTACAATTTTTATTGCAAGATTTCAGTAAGCACATTGAAATAAATAGAAAAATAACTCAGTAATTTAAAGTATTATTTGTTTAACGTTTCTAATGCTATTTCTTAGCGTGTCGTTTGTTTCTAAGGGTAAACAGAATAAGAAGAATTTCTTTACTTTTTTCTTTTCTCGACATAATTAAATAAATTGAGAAATTGCATTGCATTGGGAGACAGGACAGTAGATTGTATTGCTAGCTCGAATTTGCTAGCTGAATCACGTTTTAACTTATATGATTCTAATAAGTTATAAGAAATTTTGTAAATAGCATATATAGTTTACAGAAACTGAACCAAATTCAAACTTTTGAATTGAGTTCAGTTCTTATTATAATAATATTAAATTTATAACTGTATAGGAATGAAGTAGCAAATAATTGTTAGAAATACGGATAAATAATATTGCCGAATTCGCTTGAAAAATAAATTAAATTCAATGCAAGAAAAAAATAATTCAAATTTAAATTATAAAATAAAATTTAAAAAATTTTTTTAAATAAAATTTTTATTTTTAGATATTGGTTTTGATTACATTTTTGGCTGTAGTATTTGGTGCTCCAGCTCCTTCACCACAAATAATTTATGGATCACCAGTTGCTTATACCGCTTACTCAACTTACGCATATCCATATGTTTATCCATATTCTGGAGTCTACACATATTACGGTTAAAAATATGTCCGCAGTGAGAAAAAAATAAAAATTTCTTAATTTTTACATCTTTTTCTCTTAATAAGAAAGTGATAAAAATTTCAGTTTCCTTTACAGAAATATTCGAAATTAATGATTTAATATATGAAAAATGGTTTATGCTGAAATTATTTTAATTTACTACTTAAGAATGTGTATTTGATTTTGTTTTTCTTTTTCGAATAAATTTTAATTGAAAAAACTTATGTTTGCTTTTGAATTTTTTTTGAATTTTTCAAGGTTTTATAGAATTTGAAATTATAATTTAAATTTTTATTTTAATATTTTCATTTTTAATTTATAAAATTTTGTATCCAAATGTACGTCGCTATGGGTATCTAAATCGTTCCACTACCTCACAATCATTGTTTATGTTCCATATATAAGGTTATATAATGCTCTATATAATAAGGGTATAATAAGCATATATAGTTAGAAGTGTCATACTTCAGGTGTATAATACTTTTAATTATACCAGCCTATGCAAAGGAATTATAATCTATCCCTTACTCCTTAGCTAGAAATAAGAAACGACAAAAAATTTAATTAAGACTTAAATTTAAAAGTTTCTACATCATAAAATTTTTATACAGAGTCTCGTCACAGTTACAACTTACTTCCAACAATTGCCATAGTTGTTTGTTAAATTCTACGAACTTTAATGTGCTTTAATTTGTAAATAATGGTAGTTATTCGAAATTTCAATTGAAGAACACGTCAATTCAAAATTTTCTTTACAAAAAAGCTTTAAAAAAGCTTTTTCATTTAAATATTTAAGAGTAAAACCTTTCAAAACTTTAATAACATTACTTTTATTATTTTGCAATTTTTTATGAGTAGAGAATTTCTCGAAATTTAAAGAGCATGGCCGAGTATCGAATTATTTTTGTTTTCTTTTTTTAGTTCTCTTCTTTTTATATTCATATATTGAACGCAATGCATAATAAATAAAGGATATGCGAAGATAAACATAATAACGGTTTATTATTTATTTGACTTATTCTTTTTCTGAATTTTTTTTTAAATGTACGTACACACACAAACCTTATATACAGTTTATTTATTACAATTAACGGTAAATATTGAATTGGAGTATATTCCAAATTTTCAAAGGGAACACAAACATACATGAGGCAAAAGAAAAGAAAATTAATTGATTGCTAATAAAATTGCAAAAAAAAAAGAAAAATTGGACACTAAAAATTTGGGTTTATTAATATTTTATACGGTTTTATATATAAATGTATGTGATATGTGAATAAAAGAACAAACATCCGATAAATGCATTGAAATTGAAATAACAAAAGAAGAGAATATTGTTGACTTTTATTACCTAGTAACCTATTATGATTTTTTTATAGATAGCAACTGTTGTTACCTTCTCGACGTCACATTGCATTAATTTTAATTGGCATTAAAAAGTTTGACTATTCATGCGGAATTATATTGAAAATAATTATTTGAAATCAATGCTGTCATAATGATTTTATTCCGTAGATAATATTTTATTAATTTTATATGCACATGAAAAATTGACAATAATTTAATAGTAATTAATTTCATTTGGATTTCATAAAAATAAAACTTTTAAAAATTTTACAGGATTTTTATGAGTTGAATTGCAGTTGCATAAACGTTCTTTGAGTATTATTGTAAATTTGCCATAGATTTCAATAGATTTTATTACAGATAAACATTTAAATCATAAAAATCTGCAATATTTAACTTAAGTCTACGAATTTTTTATTGTTTATTTATTATGATTTATTATTTTTAAATTGAAAGTTTGAACAGTTTTTTTTTTAATATACTAGCTTAAAAAATTTTGAAGAAACCAATTAAAGGGTGTTTTATGTTAGAAATGGAAGAAATAATTTGTTTAAGCGAGTACATTTTAAGAAAAGTTAATATTGAAATAAATCGTGAAAGTTGATTTTAAATATTGGTTCTTACTATAAGCTGTGAAACTGGTATGAGTGAAATAAAAAAGAACATTTCTTATATCATGGACCTCAGTGAAGGATATATTAACTGTAGTATGGAGTTTATAGGGAGTCACCTGCGGTATAAACTTATGTATATATTTTTATTCTGCATAAGATTCGGAGTTCGGTCTGCCCAATCGAACGACAGCTGAACAACGAATAATGCAATCGATATCAAACTTACAAAAGTTGTTTCATTTCTACCAGGACGACTGCTATTGTAATAGAAGGAAATTGGAGAGAGGGTTCAGGTAGATGCCATATAACTCCAAGAGATTATTTCAACAACTAATATAGATATTAATATCAAATTTTGTATGGGTATGTTCAATTACATTTTATATACATTCTGAAAATTTTAGTAGAATGGCTGCAATGCTTCGAGGAGCTGCCATACAATTCCAAAAGTTAATTTTAAAAAGCTCGAATTACATCGACTGAAACGTTTTAACTTGTTGTATATTAATATAGTAATGAAGTTCGGTACTTATTAAATTTTTGATTTCATATATTTTTTGATGTTTCAATATTAGAAACAATCTGTTTATTGCAATTGCTAAAATAATTCTAATATTTTGATTAAGAACATTATATTTTGATGTTGAAGTAGGGTGAGTCCGTGTTTCTTTGGACAAAAAACTAATTTTCATATTAAAACTCAGGTCAAAATCAAAATTTTGAATTTTTGTTAATATATATACTCTTAGACAATTTGATTTCCTTTGTGCATGTGCAAGGCAAAAAATTGATCGTAATTGATTGAATTGATTGTTTTTAAAATGGCATAACGCATAGGAGCAAAATATTGATTTCGAAAATGAATTACACGTAACGGAGCTATACAAAATTGAAGGACAAATTATATTTTTACTAATTACCAATGCAGCGTGTAACTGTTAACGTGTTTGTTAACTCTTATAAGAATAACTAATGGGAATTTTTTTCTTTTTGACTCGTTCCTTTGATAAAGTCATCCATTTATTCTGCAGTGATATGAAGAAATTTCCAATAGTTATTCTGATAGATCCGCAGGTACAGCCATCCACAAGAATATGGGAACTCATTCTATTTATATATAAAACAAAAGGTGTTATAAATCTGTATATAACACGTAGACTTACCCAAAATATTTTTGGGATCAATATTTAAAAATACATTTTTTCAAATTTAATTGTGTGGTCTAAAATAAATTAAAATTTTACAAAATTAAAAAATATTTATTTCAGTAAAATTTTATTATAAAAAAATTTAGTAATAATTGTACATACGTATGTATGTATGTATATAAAAAAAAATAACAAAAAATATGAAACTGATAATTTCAATTTCATACTTTAAAATATTTAGAATTTAATATAAATTTTGTAAGTATGTAGGTATTTAGTGATAATACTAAATCTATGCAAATTTATTTTTCTCTAAATTACAGGGTATAGTCTGTGGTTTGATGGAATAATGCTATAGAATCATAGCGAAACCTCCATCTAATATAGGCATCCATCTAACCCTAAGTTAAAAATGATACTTTACATTTTACATATAAAAATGTTATTGTTATCATTCGTTTCAGATTGTTGTAATCCAGATTTAAGTATGTAGAGTAGCTGCTTATGTTACTGGTATTAAATTCTGATTAGACTAAAATGAGCTAACTTATAAATTATTTTTATGAGTAACTGCTGCGTTTTTGTATTACACATTTAAATAGTATTTAATTTACAATACAAAGAATTGGGTTTTTTGTTCTATTATTCAAAATCTACCGTAGTTCTATCACAGTGCAAGTTCTTGCTAAATAAGTATTTCAGTAAAATTATGAAGATTCAGTGGCGCTTTAGAAAATTTATTGAATATAATTATATGAATTTGCTATTTCATACTAAATCCTAATTTGATAAGACCTTATTATAAAAAATTAAAATATTTCAAATTATATAATTGAATGGTATTTTAATTAAAAATAAATAAAAAATGCGAGTTAGTAACTTCGTTTTAAATATTAAAATATTTAAATTTAGAATGAAATGGTTTCGTTTTTTGTTTTTTCGAAAAAATTTCACACTATATAAATATAAAATGGGACCATACATTTTTGGTTTTTGGTGTCAACTTTGTGGTTTATTTTTGTTTTAAACTCAAATATTAGGTACCTACTTACATACATACGAGCATATCCTTATGTCACTATTATATTATATTATGTACCTATAGTAGATATAACTACCTTTATATGGAAATTTGTATACACGCACATAAATACATTAAAAATTTTTAATGTAGCTAGTAATTTTCTGTGAAATTTATGCAATCTAATAATTATAATTGATTTGTAAATATTTTTTTGCAATCAAAAATAAGTTTAATAATTTCATTTTTGAAATTTGAATTTTTGTGAAATTTGAAATACCACAATTTTCAAAATTTTTGCTTATTTTAGCAAATTTTTATTAAAAAATTAATTTTAAAATTTTTTGATTGCATACATTTAGGATGACAGTTTTTTGTAAATACATGAATGCTAGAATTGAAAATATTTTAAAATGTTTTTGCAATTTTTAAATTATAAAATTTTTTAAAAAAATTTCTATAATAAAAATTAAATTAAAATAATCAATAATACAATTAAGGTATTAGAGTAATTACACAGTAGAACTGCTTTGAGTGGCGCTGTTTTAAATTGAAAAACTTAATACTTAAAACTTAGAGCCTAATCGTGTATCTCGTGCTTTCGACTTTGCTTTTTATTCACTTTCAAATCAAAATTCCCCGTCTTTCTAATGGATATTTTATTTTTCCTATAAGATTCCCATTTTTTTTAATGGATTTTTTCGTTTTTTGTCAAATTATCAATTGAACGTTTCACTTTCGAAAACCAAGTGAATAAATTTTGTATACATTTTAGAAAAAAAACGAGATATACAATACTGAATAATTCTTCTCACTCGAAAATTACATTTTACAAATATATGATAGGTAAAATATCAGGCCCTTGATATTCAAAAAACAATTTGTTGTCTACTTACAAAAAATTGTCTTCTGTATAGTAATATAAACTATACACAGAATGGTATTAGTCTCGTTTCAGAAAGATTTTCTAATACTGTTCATTGTTGTTAGTTGAGGACGTCAACGTAAATATTGTGCCTAATTAGAATTTTATAATAAATTATTTATTTTCGGGAAATGTTATGTTAAACTCGACGTTTTCACAACATTCATGC